AGTCCAAGAGTTAAAGCCACTTTAGCTGAGCTAATGTGTGCTTTAGTTAGCAAGCACATTCAGTTATTTGACACGTAATATGTAATTGAGAAAAGATTCTAAAGGTAATAACTTTGTATACCACCTGCAACATAATGATAGGACCACCTTGCCATGAGAAGAGTGACTCTGCTCGCATTAGATCCACAATCTTTTTAACAAACCGCTGCATCTCCTCCTAGCAGAAGTATGACACTGTGTAAATCATAAATGGTGCCAATCCTAGGCTTACAATAGTCCATTCTGATTTGGACCAGGAAAATAGGGATAACAAGGTTCTCTTTCCCGTTGGACAAAGACCACCAATATGGTGATGAAGCAAAAGTAATATAGTAGAGAGCCAGAAGTCTTGTTCTGTTTCTATTTGACAAAGACTGCGATCATATGATGAAACTCGAGTAACATAGTGGAGAAAACCACAAGCAGTAGACATCCAAAAGCAAAAAGTCGAGTTATTACCAGCAATAACTAAGATGCCTAAATAAATCATGAGTGTTACTCGTTGCTTTTACCTTGAAGGGTGCATTATCAGTCCGAAATTCTATACCAGGGATATCGCGCAGCCAAACTGGAAATCCCCTGCAAAAAAAAAGAACATCATAAGCAATCGACATATTAATTGTTTAAATATGCTTTGCTTGGTGAAAATATTTATCATTGAGAGCTATAAACTGTCAACCCATGCATTTCATAGAACAAACCTTCCACTTTTTGCTAGTAGGTGTTAACTGTAGGCTCCAATTATTTGGGCATTATGCAAGTCAAAGTAGGATTTATTTATTGGTTGGGAGCAACTTTTACATATTTGACAATAATTGAAGATGGTTGTGGAGTTCCCTAGTAGGTAAGAGCCTTTGAAAAGGTAAGTACACCAGGTCATTCTTTTTTCTTTTTCTGTTGTGTTACATGAATATAAAAATGGACGACATTGATGATGTATATATAAGGTATCATATGCTCAAAAGAAAAAAAAATCATCAGAATGAGAAAGAAGGTGCAACCCAAAGTTCCATTCTGCACAAACATAAGGACCAATTCGAAGAAGGAGGTAGAGTCCACTTGAACCAACTAGCTTGGCAAATTTGACAATGTCGTATCTGCCTTCAAAGTTGTACTGAAAAGGCAATTCATAAATGTAAACAATGTAAACATGTATGTATGTCCATAAATCCTTCACAAGTAAAGCCATGCACACAAATGCCGAGACATTCCTACCTGTCCTTTAATTGGTTCATGAACATTCCAGAATGCATATGTTTCAATTACATCTGCTCCTCCTTCCTTGCTCTTTGCTATAAGATCTGGCCACATCTAAAATCGCATAACAACTCCCATAAGAACTCAATCAGGACATGAACAAACTTGGCTAACAAACCAGAAATATTACATCTGGACCACAAGGGGAAAGGTGAAAAACAAAAAATTACTAAATTGAGAAGTCAGACAAAGAAAGGTTTTCACCTCTCCAGTTTCAGTTAATCTTTAAATGTAGTTAATCCTTCGTTAGCTGATATAAAGCGGTACTATATGCGAGCACTAACTAATGGTTGATAACAGATATATTCCTTCCTTCCCTTTTCTCCAAGCCTCTCAACTGGATTCTCTAATAATGGTGAAGAAGCTAGTCATAAAAACTTCTAGAAATCATATTTGCAAAAAAACATATAAATTTTCATAAGGCCAGTTTCTACTTTTTATCTTACTATTTCTAGAGTACTCCATAATGAATTAGCAACCCATGAATTGTATTATACAGCTCCAAATGTTTGTGATTTGAATATGATTCTAATCCAAGGTACTAAAAATTCTCAGAAAAGCAAAAGAGAAAAGGAGAAAAATACTTAGAAGATTCAGTGAAAAGGATGCATTTGGAGCTCTATTCTAATTAATAATCCGCAAACAGGGCTAAAAGATGAACAAACTATTCGATGCTTAATTTTGAGCTCAGCTCGGCTATGTTACTGGGATTCTTCACTTCGCCCTGCCGAACCTGTGTCGGAGTCTACATTTTGCACTAGAGTACCCGTGTCAATGGACTCCCATACCCAAGTCCGAGTAACATAGCAGCTCGTTAAGAGCCCTTTCAACCGTGGTTTGCCAACTAATCAAGCCAAACATGAACAACATTGATTGTTCATTAAAGTTTCAAGCTTGGCTCAAGCTCAACTTGATTAGCATAATATTTGAATTTAATATGTAAACACTCAACCTACTTGAGCTCGCTTCAGGCTCAGCTCGATAAAAGCCAGCTTGAGTTTGGCTCCACATATAAAAAAAGCCGATTTTGACCATAATATCAAGGTCATTATAATAAACAAACTACTTGTTAACCTTGATTAGGCTTGTTAACACCCATAACTGTCCATGATGACCCTCACAACCAAATATCAGAAACTAATGCACTATTTATTGATTAACTAAAATAGCGCTCCAAGCTCAAATTTCCAATTATATTCTTATGAAAAAGTATCTAGCATAAATAAATAGCAACCAATTCAAGTGAGGTAATTCAAGCTACTTATCAAGAAAAAAGTAACTAATTCAAGCTGATGATCCAATCATCTAAGAAGGAAATTCACTACTTCCAGCATGGAGAATTATAGCTATGACTTACCTCGGCAGTGGCGCGAGGGTAGTGAATTCCGGCGGAGATGAGCATACGGCGTTTTCCGTCAATAATTACAGCTCTGTGATCGTAACTGACATTAAACGGCTTGAAATACTCGCCGCCGGCGAGGAGTGCCAATTGCAACGTCAACGCCGCCGTAATCATCAGCCATTGCAGCAGCATTCTTCTCCCAACCACCATTTTCCACTTCTGTCTTTTCTCCACAACGAATAAAACACACAATTTTTAGGATAGAATTTCGTAGTAGGAGTATTTAAAAAATGGAAAGAAAAAAAAGAGAGAGAGAGAGAGAGAGAGAGATTAGTACAACGTTACATCAGTGTCAGAGGAAGAGTTCCGGCAGTTGAAGTAAAGGAGTGACGTGGACAAGGAAGACTTGTGAAGTGGATAATGTTGATTGCCTCCAGAAGTAGCAGTACTAATTGACCAATTTACCCCGTCACAAAGAATTTCTTTTTTTTTAATTTTTTGAACAGGATAGAGATGTAAATGAGTCTAATCAAGCAAAATATTCTAATATTAAACTTATTTGATTATTTTAATGAAGTTAAAATTTTATTCAATTTTAACTTATTTATTTGTTGAACATAACTTAAACGAATTTTTTATCTAATTTAAAAGTTATTAAACATAAAATATTATTTATATTTGATTTGACTAGTTGGTAAATCAAAAGTGAACAAACTCTTATCAAGTCGAGATCGATTCGAGTATAAAATAATTGGATTCATCTTTCAGCTCTAATTAACTGGAGTAAAGAAAGAAATAATTTTTCTTTTTCTTTTATATATTAGTATCATATTTTAATTGTAGAAGCAAATGTAGAACACATATGCCGATGGAATAGGATCAAATAAACTTTCACTTCAGAGGTCAATTTTCAATTTTTTGTGGTAACGTTCTTCTAAGTCGGGTTCTAAAATTACTACCACGGGCCATGCCTACCCTCTCAATCCAAGTTGATACTCTCGCCCATTTATATTGCTATTTTCTAGACTTTTTATTAAAAAAAAATGTATATACCATAGGGATTTGATATATGTGAAATAAAAAGATAATTAAAGAATGTGTTCATAAAAAACGTAAAAATTTATTGAAAAAAAATTGCAATACAAACAGGTTGAGAGTACAATATATATATATATATATATATATATATATATATATATACACACACAATTTTTAAATTGAAATTGTATTGATCCCGAAACAATTGTACTAATAAGAAGTTCTTCTTGTTTTGATGCTAATACTCATCAGTGTCCTAGTACTAAGTGAATGTTTTTTTATTTTCGTTTCAATATTTTGTTTAAACAGAACTTTTTAGCACTTTAGTTGTAGTAATGGAACACGTAAAAGAACAAGATTGAAGTAGCTAACCTAACATGGAACTAGAAAAACGTTGAAGCATAGACAATTGAAAGTTCCAATTAAAGGTAGAATAGTCAAGGATGGCAACAAGTAGAGTAGAACAAAAAATAGAGGGTTTTATATCAAAAGTTACTCGTATTTTAGTGCATAATCGACGTAGATATTAGCACAATTAAAAGAATGTGATGACAAATAAGTTAAGAAATTTTCTCTTGTAGTAAGATTAATCTTAGATCACTCTTACAGCTACCAAGTACGAGTTGAAGATGCATGTTCTTTCTTGTGCTTGTGGAAGCTATTATTTACTTGACAAGTAAATAGTCTGTCAAGCAATAATTGGAGAAATATTCTTTTTAAGCAAGATTAGTTTTATTAATCTTTCTTTACATTCATTCTTGTTCGACTGATGTACACTTGAGGGTGCAAAAGGCTTGCCATCCTCAAGTAATGTGTAAGAAGGAAAAGAAAGGGCTGCTTCTGGAGGAAGTGGATGTGATGTTGGAGAAATGATTTTCACCATGTAATTGCAGTTGGAAGAAATTGAGGCACCAAAGACGATGGCTGTGCTTAAAAGCTTGAATGATCAGAAGTGAGGCAAACAGTTTTAATGGTTTCTAATGGGGAATTTGAGGTGTATTAGGTAAGTAAAGATAAATGTTGCACTTGAGGTTTCTATTGATTCACCAACTTCATTCCTCATTGACATCTTTATTACTTCTTCACTGCGTTTTTCCTTTCAATTTTTGCTGGCATAGTCAAGAACTTGCTTCCTTGGTAAAAGGCAAATGCAAAGACATCCTTTAGATGCATGGTCTATAAAATCCAACATATGAGCAGGGAAGGGACATGGTCATATCGATGTCACCCTTAAAAGTTCAAGAATGGAGAGCATATATCGTGACTTTACTCCCCTCAAAGAACAAAAAGTAGAATGAAACCACCACAAATCAATACCAGGTAATGGAGGAGATAAAGAAAATGCAGTAGATTCATTAGATAAAACGCTCAACGATGATCCGAAAAAGAATTAGCACCCAACTTTCCAAATCCCCTAAAAACTGAAGGAAACTGAAATGGATCAATCACATGCATAGAACTAGGTTCTTCGCTAAAGTGACCCCTTTCCTGCTGCAGATAACCATTTAGCTCTCCACAATCTAATTCTCTCACCATTCAGTCAACCACATCGCCAAAGAGCTCTCCTTTTCATCCCAGACAAGCGCTGCCTCCATTTGTTCCCAGCAAAGATAGTGGACCAAAGATTTGCTTGGGCGGTTCTCATGAATAATCCAGCTACATGCAGAACAAAAATAAGCTTGTCTTAGAGAGTACAAGAAGCCAATGCAGAACTATTTCTTGTCTCTGTTAATCTTTTCTTGTGTCTGCAGTGAAAAATATAATGTCATGAGCTTAAGAACTCTAGGGTACCTATAGGTGAAATAAAATCCAGGAGCAGTAGAAACAACACACAAACTAATATTACCATCTGTTTTTGCAGTGGTCAAATACATGTGCAAATATGATACTACCAACATGGTGAACTGCACCTTTCTTTCCAGAAAAATGCACATTTAGTTTTCAAAGCCTAAGATGTTGATGATAAGGGAGTTCCCATTAACTGGATAAGATTAAGACTCATTATGGTCTTGATATTTGTCTGCCAATCCACACTACCAATGTCAATAAATCTGTAATTGCAGAGGAACAAATTGTTTGAACAATAGGTAACCAACTCAGAGAGGCATAACAACATATTCAATGCAAAGAGATCTGCAAGTTCAAGCGTCTTTAACTGCTGCTATTTGGCTTACTGAATCATGACCAGCATATGACCAAATCATCTTTTTCCCCATGAATACTGGATATTCAGAGTCTTTTCAAGAACTATGTCATTCTTGGAAGAAACACTGCATTAAGTACAAAAAAGTAAGAAGACTGAAGTTCATAATACCAAAAGCAGACATTTAATTGCTCACCTCTCCACAATTCTTTAAAACAAGTTGCAAATATAGAATTGAACCATAATCCTTCCCTAACTTATCAGAATGTTCTGAAAGACTTGCATAAGCCTCTTCTGCTATAGCAACTTTCCTTGCAATATCATCATACCAATATAATAATTGACCGCATTACATAAAGAAACCACTAATCTGTTAGAAGTCATTGATAGTAGCAACAGAAACCACCAGTTATCAAGGATCAAGGCCCTGCTCTTATCTGCTTTAGAAGTTCAATTCAACAATTAAAACATCATTTTCCTACCAGCAAACAACCCTATGAATCTGGCAATTCCAACTACAATAAAGAAAAGGACAAAGAAAACAAAGAAGTTAGTCTAAACTGATAAATCTGCACAATCACCAAATCCAATTGAAACTTTGCAGTCACAGAAAGATGGAGCTCACATCATACCTTCCAAATATTGAATCTAAAGCTTACCTTCTGTAACAAGAACATGAATCCTGTCACTCTGCCCGGAAAAGATTATTCCTACAGTGCAAGGTGCACACAACATAACACCAACCATTAATTCGTATCATCTTTGCGTGAGTGGTCCAAAATCCCAGAAATGACACATACCAAATCTTCTTTTCTAGACCTCAATCTCAAATCAAAATTCTTTCTTTTACGGTTTAAAATATATATATACACACACACACACACATATACATACATACACTCTTTGATGAACTTTGATTAGTCTGTTAAAATTAGGTATCAAAAGGAATTGTAATTTGGTAAATACTTTACATACTGTCGCATCAGGAAAGAAATTTAAAGAAGCTTGATAAACCTGAACACTTCAAATAATCAAACTTCTTGACAAGAATTTCTCGTTTAAATTAAAGGGTCATCAATTAAATTCCAAATAAACATGACATGTAAATAAGCAACAAGAAATTTCAAGAAACCCAAAATAAAAGGCTGGTTTTGGAGAAATTAATGAAGGGAAATCAACTTATCTTGCAGGGATAATTGGGAGAACAAGAGCTGAAGGTGAAGGTGGGGAATCAGAGAACCACTGCACGCAAAAATGATAAGAGTTAGCTGCTTGGAAGTGTGAAACCCCTTTGCACTTCCACAGTCAAAGCTCCAGACTTTAGCCAAATGCCCAATTTTTCTTTCTTCCCATCTGCATATAATATTTATAAAAGGAGAAAGGCTACGTTCCACCTAACCCTAGTGGTTTAAGCCAAGGTTAACATGAAATAAAATTGGAATTCATTATGGTGATTCTGTCCATATTTGCAGACTTTGGAGAATTTTTCTTGTGACAGCTAAAAAGGAAGAATCTTGATTTTCAAAATTTTGCCTTAGTCTTGAAGGCGTGATAATATTCTCACGCCTTGTGGGGATAAGGGTATATCTTTTTTTTTTTTTTTTTTTTTTTTACGATAAGGGTTTAGGTTGGTTAATCATAAATACCAATAAGGGGTTATGTGTAATTATCACACATACTGGTCTCCCAAACTACATTGTAAAAATTATTATATAGCCTATTCGGTGACTTCCCATGAGAAAATAAGGCCAGAGAAAAGTTTAATTGGAATAGCTTTTAGGATGAACAATGTAATTTTATAGCCACATAATTATAGCTTAAATTTTTTAGATCTTTCAAAATCATATCCGGTTTGACAATGTATCCAAAAGTAACGTGATGACATATAAACATAATATATATATATATATATATATATATATATATATATATATATATATATATATGTTTATTTGCAATTAAAGTATTTTTGTAATTATTTAGAATCATGTAAACATGGTTATCTAAGCAAAGTTCCACCTTTCAAGAGTAAACATGAGGTTGTAATTATAGAATACTCTATATCACACACCAAAAAAGTACAAACCATGAAGTTTCAACCTAGTTTTCATGAAAAATAAAATAAAATTTATTTTGCTCACATTTTAATTCCATCTTTTGCATCTATCACTATTTCCATGTTGTATTTTAGTTAATTGTTAATTCAAATTAAAACTTGTTTGAACTTTCATTATATTAGAGTTATATCGTAATTACCATTCAATGGTGCAAAATGGGAGTTACAAATATTAATATTGAAGCCTTATTTTCCTTTTTTTTTGTTTTTGATGCATTTCGTTTGCATGAAAGTCGAATGAATAGCTAAAAAAAATTCACTTACACTTTATTCGTAAATCTTTCGTATTTTAGACGATTTTAGGCACTTATATAGTTTTATTACTACCTATAAATTGCAATTTCTCTATAACTTCTTTTATTTGAATATGTTAAGCTATATAAATTTAATTCATTTTTTTTTACAGGCAAAGATGATTTTTTTTGTCCAAAAATTAGTAGTGGTTGCCTAATGTTTACATTAAACACTAACAACCACATCCTATTCTAATCAAAATCTTTTATTAGTTTTTTCAACTTTGCTCTATCACTTTCTAGTATTGCTTTGTTACCATTATCTTGCTAGATGCTTTATCTCCAATTATACTTGCAATGATTGTAAATTTATGCTTATGAAACGCTATATAATCTATCTTTTGCATGTAATGGAGTATACCATGTTACTACATTACATAATTATATTCGAAACATTCATATATTAGAGATAGAAAAATAAAAATAAGGGATCACTAAAAATAAAAAATTTCTTTGTAAAATCTAATATTGGGATATTCTACAAAATGCATTCAAGCTTTGTATCTTAGTTTCCAATGCTCAAAAGTTGATGTTAAATTAACATTTTGATGTCATTCTTTGTTGAGAGTATCTTAGAATAGGATATATAGGTCACTTGCATAAAATATGATCTTTCACTTGTACATACAAGTATTTATTTTACTAAAATATTTATGTGGTCCTGCAAATTTCTTAATATTTATGAGGTATATTAAGCTGACGCCCACTCTTGATTTGCTTTTGATAATAAAAAAAATCATGTATATCTAATATAAAAAATTAAAACATGGTCTTTGAAACAACAGATATTATTTTTCCAACTCTTTCAAATTGCTTATTTGATGAATATGTAAAATATATGCATATATGATAAGTAGAGAAAACTAGTATAACAATGAAGTTATGATTCTTACTACGCTCATGAAATGAAGTGGATTAGACATCGATCATTCAAGTGTAGAATTAATTAACAAGATAAACTAGATTCACTTTGTGTGATTATGGAAGAGGTACTTATTTAACTTTCAATTTTAATGACATTTACTTTGTAGTTTATTCATCTTTGTATTTATCAGCTTATTTCACACTACATGTTATTTATGCACTTGCTATCACCCTTGTCCAAAACCAAAGCTTTGTTTTTCGGAGTCAATAGCAATATTTTTAAATTTATAAAAATTTCAAATATCCTACTTAAAATAACAAAAACTGTTAGAATAATGTTAATGGAGACTTAAAGATTTTACACAATAAGTTTGATTCAACCTAATTTTGTGCATTAAACAAAAACATTTAAGAAGCTTAAATTGGACTACAAAATGATGTAATAATTATATGATCAATGACGAACAAGGTATAGAAGTGATCTAATATTAGAATTTAATTTTGTAACAGTGATCAAGATCTTAAACGTCACTTTTAATTGTACTTGAAATATAAACAAACAAAACACTAGAAGAATGAATATCCTTTATGTGAACTTGCATTTAAAAGAAATAAAATATCGGCTTGTTCTTTATTTTTATTTATTCTTTTCTTACTTTTATTCGTAATATTTTTGTGAAATGTAACATTGCTAAATATTTAGTTTAGCACCTATTAGACACATAAAATTTGAAAGACATTGATCATGCACTATATTATAACAAATACAAATCATATAAAATAGGCACCTATACATATAGAATATTGATTGTTTAAACACAAAAGATGTGGACATCTCTTTAAAGGTAAGACTTGACAAAAAACCATAACTTATAGACTTTCTATTTTTAATTCTATGGAAATATATAAGGACTATAGCTATTTTATATCGATAATTTGTCTAACATAGAGTAATGATCTATCTTAATTTCAAACCATACATTAACATGAGAAAATAAAAAGTATGAATCTAGAAAAATAATTTATTAATTTTCTATTATATTACAAATTCTTTATTATTATTATTATTATTATCACCACCATTATTATTATTATTATTATTATTATTATAAATTAGTAAACTTAATATGTCTAATTTTCATGTTTTATTTACAATTAATGATCCATTTGTTCTTTTCTTAATGATATAAAATAATACTAGTAAGGAATTATAAAAATAAGTTTCAACACGAATTGTTATTCACTTTTCATTTCTAAATAGCTATTTCTATAAATTACAATAAAAATTTTACAGCATATAGTTTCTCAAAGAATAACTAAAATTTGAAATAAATTCCTAAAATACAAACTATTATTTGAACATTTTGTTTCTTCTACTTGAGCTATTGATCCACAAACTAAAATGATGATCTTAAAAAGTCATATAAGAAGTTTGAATTTTGATGAAGAGAGATATTTATGTTTCATCTACGTATGAATCTATCTCAAAAGATTTGTATGAATCACATATTTACAAAGCACATGAGTTTTCAAGAAATATGGCTTTAATAGTAAAAACAGACCACTACTTCTATATCAAACACTAAAAACGAAATTCTTAGAACGAAACATGTCTTAAAATTGATCAAACAGCTTGATAAGTTTAAGTGAAACGAAATATAGTATCTAAATAGTTTTCTCATTATGGAGAGTTCATAAAAAGTTCAAGACAAATCAAGCCTTAATTATCAAAACTAATTAAACCTAGCTGTTTGATTTGACCAATTGATACACCTTTCCACTGCAACCTGCATGATCAAGTATTTAATAGTTTGTGTTAGTAAACAAAGAAAATGATACCAAGGCATTAAGATTTGTATATGAGATTCCATAGTCCATACATTGAAAAAAAAAATAATCAAGTAACTTACAGTATGATTGAGATTTTAACATTGCCAATGGATGGAGCTAGTTATTAGTTTTTGGAAGATAGACACGATGGATGTCTTTCTTTTTTATTTTCCTTCTACAAGTGGGGCATTTTCCTTGTTTCTCAATTGCAGTAGTAATGCAACCATTACAGAAGATATGTCCACACTTGGTTGTTGTTTCTTCAACCATTGTCCCAATGCAAATAGGGCAACGAAAAGTGATCTCTCTTGTTTTAGCCACCAAATTTGATGATTCTCCTACCTCAAAATTTTGGTTGTCCTGTAAATTAGATACTTTATTTATTAGTGATTAGTAAATTATGAAGAACACCATGCAAAAAAAAATTAATGAGATAGAATTAATGACACATATATTGATGCATGTGTACACATTTGTGAATGCATATTTGGATATTGCATAATTGTAAATCATCCCTTTGATTATACTAAATTCAAATTTGTGAGTAGAGTGTCACTGAAAAAAGCATAGTATAAATATGGTTATCCTAGTAGTAATGGTTTAAAGAAACAAATTCTAAGTAATTTGTTTATACTATATTCTTCATAACCATTACTATTATGAGAATTAAGAACCGTAAGATGGAGAGAAAAATAATTACGTGAAAAATTACTAAATTTTTTATGATATAAGATTTGCATTGGTGCGTAATAATATACATTGCAAATACATTATTTCTATGTTCTTCAAATAATTTATTAATAACATATAGTAAAAAAAACTTTAAACTATTGTATTAAAGACCAAAAGAGAAAAAAGAATCCAACTTATTTATAAAAGTAATACAAAAACATTGAAATAAAACTAAAAAAATCTCCATCTCACTAGGCCAAGTTCAGAAGAAAAAAAATGTCGGCACTAAGAATAAAAAGAAGTATATTTTAGTGGAATTGACGATTTAATGTACTTATAAAGAGAAAAATGCATATAGATTTTATAATAACTTAAGAAATATATTCCATATGAGAATCATAAAATATTGGTAATCTCTTAGCGCAATCTTTGTCCTGGATAATAATAATTATTAGGTATTGATGTACATATATCAGTACAAGTTGTTGAGCAAGATAACTAATTATTTACATATATCAATTTATACTCATCAACATTTATGACTAGGGATTTCTTGTTCATTTTATCATATTAGTCAGAAATACACATATACACAATAAATAACCAAGATACATAATCTCACAAAAATACCTTCTTGGATTCTTGAATATCTTTCATCGTTAAATTAACATTGCTTCCATGAACTCT